TTTGTTACTTGTTTCCAAAGTCTTCCCAACAGTGAAGGAACACATACGGGAATTTACTATACATGGTATGGTGCTTCTCCTGTACTGTGTGCGAAGGCATCTACTCTAACCTGATCTTGCTTCATATCACCAAGAACAATCTTTTAATACAAGCCCACCCTTGAGTGTTTCCCAACAACTTTGTGTTCATATCAAGATTACAATACATCTTATTTGTATTCAACATTACTGACTTCAAACACAATTCCTGGATCTGTGTGTCTCGCAGCCTGGCCAAGACTGGCAATCCAAGATATGTGGAGGGCACCAAACCAGGAAAGACTGAAATACCCTTTGAAATAATTGGATTACAAGAAGCATCCTAGAAAAATTATGTTTTGACTCAATTTTAACATGGCTATTTAGTTGGTCTATAAAATAGCCTTAGAAAATTATATTTAAAAAGTCTTGGCCTAATGAAAACAATGTAGGAAAGAGCTACAGGTGATCTGTAGGCTTATCATCAAGAACATAAAAAGCCAATGTAATTACTAATGGAAAAATGGGGAAACTGTTTCTTTACTGCAATTTTTTTGTTTTCTGCAATTATTACATCAAATAGTTCTTTTGGTAGAACAAAACATTTATAAAGATGAAATTCGCATGTCGTAGCTTGCAGTCTCAACAGGCAGACCAGGCATTCCATTGACATGTGAATTACACAAAACTAAAAGGGTGATTCAGCTGTAAGAGCAGTAATAATGCTCAATGAAGTTTGATTTCTATGCACATTCATAGAAAGTCTAGTATTTAAATATTACACTATTAGGACTTATGATGTAGAAATAACAGGAGCTATATTTTCAATATATCTAGAATGATCAGCTTGGGAAACACTAATGGTCAAAAACCATAATAAGTATTCCGTGCAGTACTTTTGTTCTATTCAGGTTATACTGGTTTAAAAACGAATGGACAACTTAGTCCTATGAGCTGCTCAGTCAAATTACTTCCCTTCATTTTAAGGAGGATGTAGTGACAGCAGAGAAAAATAAAATAAAAATAGACAAATAACATGTGACTATTTACATACAAAGTATATATACGGTATATATATAGAGAGAGTTCTCTATAAAAGGGACTTTATATTCAGGGGAATTCAAAACTTCTCAGGTTAAGATTTAGCACCAATATTAGCTGTATTGATTGGGAATTTTGGAAAAGGAGTCACACCACCATATTCAGGAAAGCTGATTTAAAGCCTTGTTCAGTTGGGTCTCTGGGTCTTTTTATAGCATTTTATGAATAATAGCATGATGTACTGAGACTTAGTATGGTAGTTTGTGAATAATAGCAACTATTGGCAAGAATAGGAACAATACTTCTTGAAAAAATATTTCTTGTCATTACCTCTCCCTCCTGAAAAAAATAATGTCTCAGGAAAGCCATATCTTAAAATGTATATATTAGGTACTCACTTCTTGGAATATACTGTATATAAATTTACAAGGTGAGGATAGAAGGGTACCAGGATGGTGAAAAAACCCAAACTATTTTCAAAGGCTAGGCTAATGATAATTAATGTACTACATGCATAACTTTGAAGATGGATGGTAGTACAGTATTTTGTATTAAATAAGATTTTATGGGACTTTAAGAGTTTATAAAAAGGCTGCCCCCATAAACGATTTACAGTTCCAATAAAAGATCAAGGAAATTGTTCAAATTGCATCTCAGAGTATCTGAAACATTTATTTTTATGGAAGCCTGAAAACCTCCATATCTAAAACTCCATTATTTTCTTTTATTATTATTTTTGTCCCTAATCATATAACAGAATATATCTTTAGAGATGAAGTCTAACAGAGAATATTGAAGATCAGAAGAAAGACTGATCCCTTTGACTCAAAGTTAAAATAAGTTGGAAGGTAGAGAAAGCAAGAATATAAATAAGACCAAGCTAAGCCACTTGTTCAACCAAAGTCCTTCTTGACTTTTTAGCTTGCAACTTCTATCAAGCCTACTTAGAAGGATCATTGATTAGGGAGGACAGAGGTTGAAGACAAAAAAATATCTGGAAAGACTCAGAATGAGGAACCCTGTTTTAAGGCCTGCCCATTTGATGTAGTCACTGCTTCCATCAAATCTTCCCAGTTTCTCTATTTGTGCAATAGCATCACTGTTGGAAGATCATTTCATTAATACGGGGAAAGGCACCGGTATGTTTTGAAGACAAAGTATTGGGAGTCCAGAAGTCTGTTTTATATTGGGTATAAGGCAATTTGTCCAACTTCCTAATGATTCTGATTGGCACCAGTTCTTCAAGATGTCAAGTATTAATTTGTTAATTGCCAACTTTCTATCCCTTTATTACTCAAGGATGACAGAGATAGTACTGATGATCTTCTGCTCCACAAGTAAGCAAGAAGAGTGTGGGAAGACTTTCTATTGTATCTTTTTTTTAAAATTAAAATTACTTATTTAGACCAGGACCATGCAAATCAGCAAACAGCTATTATTATTTACATTCTTTTTTATTTTATTTACATTCTTTCTTTAAAATAAAAAAGGAAGAAAGAAAAGGTATCCTTCTTCAATGTATACTTCTTCTTCTTTCAGTGAAAGCCTCCTTTTAATGGAGTTCCCCAACAAAAGAGGAAAATGTAAGATGAAACTTGTTAGGTAAGGGTAAAGGTTTCCCCTCTCCAGTTGTGTCCAACTCTAGGGAGTGGTGCTTATCTGTTTCTTAACTGAGGAAGCCAGCATGGTCTGAAGACATTTCTGTAGTCATGTGGCCAGCATGACTATATGCTGAGGCACATGAAATGTTGTCATCTTCCAAGCAATACCTTCCTAGGGAAGTGGTACTCACATTTGCATGCTTTTGAACTGCTAGGTGGATAGTAGCTGGGGCAAGTAATGGGAGCTCCCTCCATCATGCAGCGCTCGGGCTATAACCCGAGCTATAAGCTTTCCAGCTGACAAGCTCAGCATCTTTAACACAGCCCCTTATTTGCTAAGATGCTCTGGCATCCACCTGATGAAGTGAACCTTCACTAGAAAAGAAGACAGCTAAAGGAGTCACTATCAGCAATGACTCCTAACCATGGAGTGGTATGAAAGTTGTGAATAAGAGCTTGAACTTTTAAAATGTCCTATTGACCATTCATGGAGTAGAGCCTCTTTAGATCAATCTCATATAGCCGTGATGGTGAACCTATGGCATGAGTGCCACACAGGTGACACGCAGGTGACACGCCCCAGGCAAACTTACCTCACTGTGCATGCATGTGCTTCACAGCTGATTTTTGGCCTGTTTTCAGCCTCCCAGAGGCTTGAGGGAAGCCCCTGCAGCCTTTGTTGGCTGAAAAAAAGAGCCGTTTCATCACTTCCTGAATTTCCGGAAATACCAGAAGTGACAAAACAGGCCCATTTTTCAGCTTCCGAAGGCTGCAGAGGTTTCCCTCGAGCCTCTGGGAGGCCAAAAAAGACCTCAAATGGGCTGAAAATCGGCTAGGAGGCGCAATGCAGGTAAGGGGGGCATTGCGCACGCATGCGCAGGGGGCCCGTGGGGCCCACGCGCATTGCCTTCTAGGTGCTGGCATGCGAGCACACCATTTTTGGCACAGGAGCCCAAAAAGGTTAGCCAATATAGCAATTGTGCATTACCTTTTAAATGGTTTGGACTGGTAAATTTCCAGCTAGGCCTAGAGGGCACACTGTATATTTTAAATCTCAGTTGCAAACGGTCTCTTTGAATGGATATTTGTAATTCATATTCTTAATTTGGTCTTGCTTTGGTCTATGACCATATGCTTTAATAAATTAAATTCAGACCCTAATGGGAAAAAGAGAAGTAACCCGGAGAAAGCAATGAAAAATATCCACTGAGATTAAAAGGAGAATTAAAACTGTAAGTGGAAGAAGAAAATCAGGAAGGTCTGTGTTTTCTTTGTTGCTGTTGTAAGTAATCAGCTCCAACTTTGGAGACCCTTCTTAAATTTTTAGGAGAGGGGAGCATACGGTCCATAAATTGTGCACCTTTGCATTAGATTGTACTAATCCACTCTCATGGAAATCCACACTAGATTTTGTCTGTATCTCTCATTTGGACAAATGGGAGAATTGGGCCAGCTTGAGCCAGTAGATCTTTATGGGATGGAGGTAAGAAGGAAAATTATGTCTGTACAGGGTAAACAGTAACATTTTAAAAAAAGAATAAAACAATCCCAATAAGATCCTTCTTTTATTAAGGTTCCCCTACCCCCATCATTAATTTAGGTTTAGATTCTGAGAACAATAACTTTAATCTTGCCCTTTTAAGTGAGCCACAAAGCACCAGTGGAGGCTGTTAGAAATATTCTAGCCCACACATGTCAGCAGTTCTCATCTAGGATACAGGGGGGGGGGGGGCGGTGTTTGGGGAAGTGGGCACAAGCAGGATGACATTGAACAATTTAAATATACAAATGTTATTAGATTGCAGAAGCATTACAAAGTTTTTGTGCCCCTCTCCTCAAAGTAAAGTGAAAATTACTTTTGCAGTGATTATCTATTTTGAATGGCTTATGATGATTTCTTTAATAGGTGGTAGAAACACTTTTGGGTGAAGATGAAGGAGAGAATGGAGGAGGCAGGAAGTTTTATCTGAAAACCTGAGGCAAAACTGAAGCAGGCAGATTATAAAATTAGGATTTGGCAAGAATATTGTGGTTAGAACTGTTACTCTAGCAGCTACCCTTTTCAAAAAAAATGCCCAAGGGCCTTTAATAACCACAAATGGCCAGGAACTCATTTTTATGGCTTATTCAAACGGCATCACTTCCAGCAACAGGAGAAATGAAATGTATTTTCTGATTCTTGAAATGATGAACAGCTCTGGTGCTAAATCACCACTTGTTTCAACTGTCACGTTGCCTTAGAAAGTTTTGCCCGTATTTTTCACCATCCCAAACACATTTTACATAGTTCTCCGCGAACAAATAAACAAAAAATAAACCACCAAACGTAGGTTTGCTTACCATACAGAGAATCTATGTTTCTCCAATTCCTCCTGATAAGACCGTAATACTCCATCATCAGCATCTAGTCTGATCTTAGAACCGCTTTGCACAACCACATCATTTGGATCATTCTTCTTCATCTAAAAATTAACATTCATAAATTACAGTCCTGAAATAGCTGAAAATAGCAGGCAGGAGATCTTAGGACTCTTACTCAAATTGCCTCTTTTTAGAATGACTATATTTGTTTAAAAATAATCTTGTTCATTCTGCAACATGTAGGATTTTAACTGATAACTACCAAGGAAATTTCATTAGCATTGATTCCCACACTTTCATCTTAGGTCTTGCAAGAGTGCGGAATTAATCAATATTACATTTCAACAGAAGAGAATATATGTGGCTCAGAGTTGTACTTTGGAGTCCTTTGTGCTCTTTGAACTTGGTTATTTGCTTGCAGCTGTTTAATTACCTGTCTAAGTAATATCATCAGTGCTTATGTGTGTTGCTGCCCATTTATACACAGTCTGGTAGTGCAAGCTACTGTATATAAACAGGGAACAAACTCCTCACTTACAAGCACTGAGAGCACGATGGATTCCACAATGTTACAATTAGCAATAGCAATAGTACTTAGACTTATATACCACTCCATAGTGCTTTACAACACTCTCTGAGCAGTTTACAGAGTCAGCATATTGCCCCCAACAATCATTTTAGTGACTTTGGAAGGATGGAAGGCGGTCAGCATCAACCTCCTGGTATGCGGGCAGAGTTTGCCTGCAAAACTGCATTCTAACCACTGTGCCACATTTTAGGCTATAATTGCTTTAAGACTACTACCTAAACCATTAGGGAATAAGTTCTTGGTGGTTCGAGTTTGTTGCCTGGTCAATTTTGCTTCAGAGCAGAAATTATCAAATGGATTTATGTAAACACGGAACTACATTTCCTATCTGAGGAACTTCGTATAAATTATTTTGAATGCACCCAGAAACAAGAGTGAATAGAATGACTAAAGAAAGAGTAGTAAAGCTGAGAAAAATCTTGTTTGGTAGTATTATGTTTGCAACTTCAGCTCCCCTCTACAGCTCTCCTTACTCATGTCTGATAAATATTATTCCACCCCTGCCATTCTTGCATATGTCACTTGAATAAAATTTGATGTAGCATGTCTTCCATATATCTATGGAAATTCATCCAGGTCATGGTTGTCCCACACGTAGAATACTGCATCCAGCTTTGGTCACCACACTATAAAAAAAGATGTTGAGACTCTACAAAAAATGCAGAGAAGAGCAACAAAGATGAGTAGGGGACTGGAGGCTAAAACATCTGAAGAATGGTTACAGGAACTGGGTAAGTCTAGTGAAGAGAAGGACCAGGAGAGAAAGGTGTTCCAATATTTGAGGGGCTGCCACAGAGAGGAAGGAGTCAAGCTATTTTCCAAAGCACCTGTAGGCCAGACAAGGAATAATGAATGGAAACTGAACAAGGAGAGATTCAACCTGGAAATAAGGAGAAATTTTATGACAATGAGAACAATCAACCAATGAAACAGCTTGTCCTCGGAAGTTGTGGGAGCTTCATCACTGGAGGCTTTCAAGAAGAGATTGGACTGCCATTTGTCAGAAATGGTGTAGGGTCTCCTGTTTGGGTGGGGTGTTGGACTAGATGACTACAAGGTCCCTTCCAACTCTGTTATCTGTAATCTGTAAATCCCAAAGGTGTTTTTTTTCCCAAGAGGCAACTGGACTTTCTGTTTTTTCTTTGAAGACGTTTCACTTCTCATTTTGGGGAACTGAAGTCAGAGCTGAAAAATCTTCTTGGGTGACAAGCAAAATGTCTTCAAAGAAAAACTACAAAGTCCAATTGCCTCTTGGGAAAAAAAACATCTTTGGGACATGTCTTCCATAGGTGTATATTATTATTATTATTATTATTATTATTATTATTATTATTATTATTATTATTATTATTATTATTATTATTATTATTATTGTTGTTGTTGTTGTTGTTGTTGTTGTTGTTGTTGTTGTTGTTCATCACACAGTCAGCCTGATATTTAGACTAGATTTGGAGTTTTGTCCTTCCCAAAGACCTAGGATAGGCAGATGTTCTTTGATGGTGCTAAAGATATCATTGCAGGATATAAGCTGTTAGTAGTAAAGTTGCTTTTGCAATTGACTGGCACCATTGCAGTGCCAATGGTGTTCAAATGGTGCCACAGATGCTTTGAGATTGGATTGCATCCAAGGCACCTATTACTATTGGTACTACCTTTGTTTTCTTTTGCCACAATCATTCTACCTTTAATTTGCAGGTCTTTGTATTTTGCCATTGTTTCCTGTTCTTTCCCTTCTAGTCTGTTGTCTCCAGTAAATACCACATCCACTATCCAGACTTTTTTTTCTTTCTCACCAAAAGTTGTTTAGGTCTGGGTTGTCGTGTGTCAGGTGACTGCCTGTTTGAATTCTATAGTCCCAAAAGATTTTAGCTTCTTCATTTTCTATTACTTTTTCTATTGTGTGGTCCCACGTGTCTTGCTTGCAGGCAAATGATATTTCTTACAGATATTCCAATGTGCCACTGTTGTTACTTTGTCATGCTAGTATTTCTAGGTGTTATACTGTTATTATGATATTTCTAAAATATAAGCATAAAATGGATGCATCTCCCCCCCCCCCCTTGCCTGTTCCCCTAAGGTTTTCTAACATCCACCCCAGTAATAGGCCTTGCTACCTAGGCAGCGGCTGTGTGAAAAAGCCTTTGTGATTTCAAAACAGATTCACCTGCAAAGTGCAGATACCGAAGTCACACGTTGCATAGGAATCTGTATTGTTACGCTGAAGGTGCAACACAGAAAGGCATTAAATTGATTACTGTATACATGAACATCCTTCACTGGGCTATGTTTGATCATGCACATGACTCAAAACCCGTTCAAGTCAGAGACAGGAGGGTGTGGCTACAGGAACCATCTTCTTTCTCACAGGGACTGCATGGGCAGAAACATTTTGTGCCTTTTAATAACAATACATTCATAACTTAATTGCGCGCCGTGCAATGCTCTGATCAGCATCAAAGGAGATGTCACTGCTTTGCTCTTCATGCAAACAAAACATCAGAAGAGCAGAAATAGCAGCCATTAGGCTGAGACACGGGAGTCCCCTGGATGGCTCTGAAAATTATTCTTCCTCTAAATGTATCCTACGAAGACTTTTCTTCCAACAATGGTGTTTTTGCTTTCATTTGCTTGCTTGTTCTAAGTAATGGATTTGGCTCAGCCCAAATAAAGCAAAATTACATTTCGTTGAAATCAACTGCACTTCAGTCCTTTACATATCTAAACTAAAACTATTTAGAGGAATGAAAAAAAAAATCACTGAATTTAAAAAAAAAAAAAACTTCTAGGTCTATCTTCAATCACTTAACACCCAATCTTGATAAGGCTTTATAAAACATTCCACAAGGCAGTGGCAATCACTTCGGCACTGTTGCCAGGAAGGCATGGACATGCCAATCCTGGCAACAGTCCCCCCCCCCCCGAAAGAGTTATGCCCCCCCTCCCCGTTTCTCATTGTTTTCCTTAAAAGAGAAAACAACGCAGAAACATTGCTATTTTTTTCTTGGCACCACACAAAAAATGGCTCAGTGGGTCTGGACAGAAGGTTATGGAATTTTATTCTTAGAGGCATGCATCAGGCTATTAATCTATTATTTAATATACTGCCTCTCTACCACTGTTTAACTAATGTTGATAGAAATAATCCAATGTTAAAAAGAAAAACACTATAAATTATGTTTTTCCACAGATGTAGTAATATTTTAATGATTAATGTAATTTAATTTAATATTCATAATATGAATGTGTTAGTAGAATAATGGCATTGTCGGAATAAAATATATTTTAAGCCTTTGTCAGGTAAGATTCAGGATAAATTTGAGGCTGAAGGGACAGATTTTATAGCTATAATCTTAATATTATGATTGACTTGCTATGGGAAGGAGGGCATAGGTTAAAGAATTAGCCAAGACTATCATTACACAAAAAATGAATAATTGTCAATATGCAAGTATATTTTTTCTATCTATTAATCTACCAAACTCATATATAACAGCAAAGACATAGATTGTGAGATCACAAGCTGTAGATATGCAAATTCCAAGTCATGTTAAAGCAAAATAGTGGGGGGGAACCAACTGTTTTCCAGGATGTAATCTTGAGCATAGACTTCCAATTTTAAGGAGTACATGAGAAATTGCTTTGAACCTCGTTGCTTGGAAGTCAGAGGACTTGTGGACTAAACTTAAATAAGTTGTTAAATGTGAATGTGAAAAGAGACTGCCAAACATGAAGAAACACAAGAAAGCAAACTGGATGTCAAAACTAACAGTGGAAATTACTTCGAAGAGAATAAAATCCAAACCCAAGAAAGACAAAAATTTCAGAAAGGATCTTAACGTATTATTTTAGACAGCTGTTAGAAGAGACAAATAGTAAATACTACAACATCTACAAAAATATGGGAGATGAAAACACTCATGTTTTTTTTTTTAAAGTAAAGCCTTGCAAGAGATTTCCAAACTCAAAAGAAGGATTCCAAATTTGAAATGACACAAAAGAAAAACAATGAACAGATAGTACCTGATTTCAAGAAGGTCAAACAAAAATGGAAAGTATGCTGAAATTCTGTAAGTAGACATGTCAACTTCCAAGAGAATACAATTTAATTTTATACACATCTAGTACAGAAGAATACACACACACACACACACACACACACACACACACACACACACACACAC